TTTCAATGTACATTAACTGATCCAGGCACGTGGCACTTACTAGATACTCCCTTGGGTCTGCCTTTGATGCTTACGCGTTTGATGCTAAAGTTGTTGTAACAGAACAACAAATACACATTTAACCAAATGAGTATGTTTAGGAGAATCAAACAAAACTGCTCAAATATTCGTATTTTGGGATTTGGATACTCGTTCGAGCATCAATTTATAAATGAGAAATGTTCCTGATATTGTGGTTATGTTTTTTTTAATTGCTTTTGAACAAATTGCTTATTTCCCCACAGGATATCAGCAAATGTAGCGTCACTTTTTCAATAATGTACGTTCCACTTCAACGATGTGTTTTTGACTACTAATTATACTTTCCGAAGTTCGTGTCTCGAGTAGTTAATTTGGGTTTTTGTTTTTGTCCTCACGAATCTGAGGTTTGACTTCGCCAACGCCTAATCCACTTATAAAGCCTGTTGTATAACATGTATTTTATGGCAATATGTGGGGAGGGGTGGAACTTAGATTATGACATCCCATTTTCATGATAACGATATAGGTCCTATTCATATAGTTTTGCAATCTTTATTACTTCAGCACATTGATCTGCTCTTTTGCTCGTTGGTTTGTATTTTGTGAGGTGTTTGTACTGTGGAGCGATACCTGAAATATTAACATGGAGAAAGGCCATGTCAATTATTATTATTTTTTTTTTCTTAATTTTGGTTGTAGTCTCATCTACTTACCTGGAGTGATACTGCTGTTGACTTCTTTCAGCTTCTTTAGTTTTATCCAAACCCAGTACTGATTGGCTACTATGTGGGTGCCTGAAAAATCGACCATTTATTTCACTGGATTTTAAGAGTTTGAAAAAATGTCCAATCAACACAGTGAAAAGTCCCCCAGTGGCGGGCCTTGGATGTGGACAGACAATTCAGGGGGGTTAAAATACTCTCTGCTGACAGACAAGCCACATTAAAGTTTGCAGGGGCGTCACCAGGCATACACGCGGATGCACTGTGCGTACATTTTTTTTTTCTTTTTTTGCCATCCATAATATTATTCTCTGTGAAATTATTTTCTTTTTTTACGGAATATAATCGAAATCCCCTTAAATTGTCAGTTAAAGTCACCTGTTTGTACAAGTCCTTTGAAAAATTGTATATGCACTATTGTTCTGACACCCAGTCTCGTTTGCTTTCACCTGATCCAGCTAAGCCCTCTAAACTAACAGGGTGACAAAAAATAGATATTTGAGAGCTCTATCCTGCCATATGATATTGATTGATTTTGGGAGCCATGCACTCGCATGTAAGCTGGATGATACCATAAATTGGATTTTTAATAAATTGATCATTAATATGACCATGGATGTCACGAAGTAGACAGCAAGAAGGTGTAGTAATATCACGACGATGAAAATAGTATTTTCTGACAACTCAGGACAACTGTCGCAAACCACATCGAACAACAGTTTTCCGCTGTTATTCAGAATTAAGCTTGATACAAGCAGGCATAATATGCAGTTCGTACAGTACTCAAAGTTTATGAGTCAGTAATCCCGTGGTTAAATAACTATACCATTCTGTGTGAAATATTATACATGTTACAGGAGTACATCCAAGGGCACTGGCTTATAATCCTTACGCCTGGCTTATGGCTATTATCGGTGCATTAATTGTAGGGGATTAAAGCCGTTGGGACCTAGGCTATCTATATGTCTATCTCACTATGCCCATCTATAAGTCTCTCTACCTCTCAGTCTCTCTCCTCTGTGGCTCAGTCGCTGCTTTTATACTCTTATCTTAATTTACATTTTAAATGAACTTCCATAACTGGAATGCAACATGCCATGCCTGTATTTATTAAAATTTAATTGTAGATATCCTTTTGATATTTCTATATGACATTTTTCTTATGTTTACATGCAAAGTTATATATAACTCTAATAATATCCACAACCCACAACATGTTGCAATTGAAAAATAATGCCAAGATATAAAATGAGCCTCATGCAAGTTACTGTCGTAAAGCAAACCTTACAATCCCTTACGAAAATTTCCTATAGGATCCTATAGGATTCCTATAGGATCCTATAGGAAATCTTATAGGATCCTATAGGGCACATTTCCTATAGGATCCTATAGGAAATTGTTGTAAGTTAAAATCTTGAGAAAAATGCATATCTTATAAACATATATCATTCTAAACAATAGATATTTGATATAGGTCCATTTTATCAGTTGAATTGTCAATTATATATCACTATTAAAGCAAAAATGTTTTTTATTGTTTATAATGCACAATCTTATAGTCTTCTATAGGATTCTATAGAAATTCTTTAATTTCTTTTTTAAAGAATTTTTGAAAAAAATTGATCATTATAAAGTAATCTTTTATAGAGAAATATTTTATCATTAGGAATGTTTTTGTACCAAATCATTGAAGCTGATTT